ACACACACACACACACACACACACACACACAAACAGTTGTTTCTCCCTGACTTCAGAGGACATAACATGGCTTACATTGATTTCCATAGTTACTACTTACCTTAACCGAACACTTACCTTAACCTTCACCTTAACCTAACCTCACCAAAATCTTAACCTAAACCTCATTCTGTGCCTTCTCTCGGTCCTTTTAACTTCCTCACTCTAAAAAGCTGCAGCTAATGATTATTTTAATTATCAATTAATCTCCCAATTACTTCCTTGTTTATTGTAGTTATAGTGTTTATTTTTCAGTTTAATAAATGCATAATATCCTCACATGTTTTGTCTGACCAACAGTGTAAAACATGAAAATATAAAATAATTTCTGCCTAAGAAACAGAAAATGTTACAAATCCTCACAACGTTGGAGCTGAAACCAGAATATCTTTGTCATTTTTTTGCATGTAAATCATTGAGTCCTTTCTTCAGATCACTTATGTTTGAGAGCGAAATCAGAGCATGACAGCAAAATCAACAGAGCTCATTACAATTACAAGGACTAAGCTGCACATTAAAAACACAGAAAAGTGACACAACAGCATTTAAACAAACAAAGCAGAATCAGTCAATGGATGAGTAAAATGAATATGTTACGGTTTCAATCTTACATGTGACAACCTGGAGTTTTATGGTACAACTTGACATGGAGCTGCAAAGACAGCAGGACACATTCTAAACAGCAGGCAGGAGACCATATCCACAAATTGAGTATTCAGCGACTCTGGCTGCTGTTTTCTCCTAAGGATAATAAACCAAAAGCTGAAGGAGAACTGAGACACTTAATTTATCCCATTTCTCAAAACATTAGCTTAGGAACCCACCCTCCTCTTAGTAGAAACTTTCCCATCTCATCTCCTGGTTGGGAGACTGCCCCAAGAGAAAGGGACACTGAATTCACACACTGGCAGACACACACTCGTGCACACTCTCTTAATGACACTTACACACACACACACAGCTCTGGCTGTCCCAGATACAGCATCTAGAGTTTCCAGTCCATTGACTGCAGGCTCATTGAGAGCTGGTCTTAGCAGATAGGCCAGCTGGGCCCCACACTGATACACAATGTCCTCCGGCTGCACAGAAAACCCTGTCGCACTGTGGAAACTGGCTGCCGCAGCTCCCCGCGGAGAGTCATTCTGGCTCCATTGTCCCTGTGGATACAGACTAACCCAGTGGTCCTTTGAGGGGCTGAAAGGAGAGTTTGGTCGGGGTCAGAGGGTTAGTCACATAGACAGGCACACACTCAAACACAGACTCACACACATCGAGTGCCCTTGATGACGATAATAAGGGCATTTAGGGGCCGTCCCTGGAGACGGGCAGGTGACTGAGGGGTAATTTTCACCCTGAAAAGACTCTGATTGTGATAATGATCACCATTATTGTCATTATGGCGTGAAATGACTCACAGACAGAAGGAGAATTTTAAAAAGGTTGTTTGATGCGGTGAGATGAGCAAGATATTAGATATTATTCTGATCCTTGTACGAAGCATAATTCTAATTAAAATATATATATATTTCAATCATCATGATGTGAAATTGGAGCAGTGCAGAATGACACATTTTGACTTTGTGATTTTATCTTCACGGTCCATCATCAGCAGTCATATTCAGGTTTATTAAGAAGAAGCTACAGTTACAGTCAAATCCTCACCAGGCATAATTAAAGAAGAAATATCTCTTTTTTCTATTCTCTATGTTTTTCCTTCCTCTTTTCCCCCTTAATCATTGCTGTCATCTTTTCTTCTTGTTGTCCTTTGTGCCCTCTCCTCGCTCTGCTTCCACATCCCCCCTCCTCTTCTTCAGTCGTCCTCCTTGGTTTCTTTACACTGCTACATCTCACAGCTCTTTATCCATCCTCCTCACCACCCAAACTACAAACTCCTTCATTCCTTGTTAAAGACATGGAGAGGAATCAAAGGGGACAGGAGATAATGTTATTGTTGTTTTAGTTGGGGATGATGGTGGTGGCTGATGGCAGTGGGGGAGTGTTGTGTAGCTGGCCTCATTAGACGCAGGGTAAACAGGGATCAGTCCTGAGGGTGTGTGTGTGTGTGTGGGTGGCAGTGAGATGCCCTGTCAGTTAGCCAAAGCCAAGGCTCGAGCATTATGTGACACATTGAACCTACTTTCTCCAAGAGTTTTGTTCTGGTGTCGTTTATGGGCCGGTCATTTTATTATTTGTTCTCTGACATACTACTGTCTTTTAATCTTTTCCGTTTTCTCTCTTAAAATGACAGAGTAAAATTGATAATCATGGTCTCTTCCTCAATTCCTGTGTTTCGGTGCCAACGGAAGCTGTTATCTCCTTAAAACACTCTGTCTTTCACTCTCTCTCTGTCTCTCTCACACACACACACACACATTCAAGTCCTCTCAACCATCAAATCAGCCCCATTCAGGCTCGCCAGTGAGATTGGCAGGGCTGACAGATAGCCATCAGAGCTTTGTGTGCTTTAATTAAACTACTGAGTGATTTTTAGGAGGCATTTGAATATGAATGTTTGCTGCGCTACTCCTATCAGACACTTTTTAATTAGCCCAGTCAGCACCAGCTCCACTTTGTGCTCTGTGGATGGAATTATAGCAGAGCTAATGAAAACCAGTGTGTGTATGTGTGTGTGTGTTTGGCCCCTCTAATCTACCAGTGTGTGCAATCTTATTTTATTCAAGCAGTTATTAATTCTACTACTACTACTAATACTACTACTAATAATAATAATATATTTTTGGATATAGTGTTAGGTCTTAAGTGTTAACTCGAGTTACTTTGGACCCCAAAGCAGAGACTGAAATACAGGTGATGATAAATAAAAGAGTTTATTGCACAAAAAAAGAAGAAACAAAGAGCAGTGGAGGCAGAGAGCAGAGCAGGCTGGCTGGTGGAAACCCAAGCAGGAGAGTTCACTGCACTGAAGACTCAATGTAGGCAAGCAACAAGGCACACACAATATCTGGGTAATAAACAGAGAAGAAAAACACTGGTGAGGAACATCCAAAAAACAAGAGCCTCGAAGATTCACAAGAAACACACAGAGCAACTACAGGACGAGACGAAATGATCGGGTAGAGTAGTGGAGTGAAGACCAGGCTTCTATGGGCAGGTAGATGAGTTGAGTGGAAGCAGGTGAGCCTTGTCTGCTGCAGGAGAAACCAGCCACACCCCCTGACACACACATGCCCTACAGGAGAAAAAACAGAAGGGGGGGGGGGGGCATAGAAAACATACAACAAAAGAAACACAGAATCATCACATATAGCACTTCTTAAAACAAGGTACTCGTGCTTCACAACAAAAAAAAGTAACATAAAAGCCCAGTCATAAAAGAATAAAAACCCTAAACTTGTGAAATTCAAGCGTGACCAATAATAAAAACTACATTTTAAGCTTTGTAGTGATTTTGACTGACATGCTGCTTCATGAATGATGTGATTGACAGGTTCACCTACGAGATTGCTCCAGTGTTTGTGTTGATGGAGCAGCTGACTCTGAAGAAGATGATAGAGATGATTGGTTGGCCCAGCGGAGAGGGGGACGGCATTTTTTCACCAGGTTAGTCATTCAAACCTCATCCATATCCAAATTAATTATAATATAATTATGTTTTAACAACCCAATTAAGTTACATCATTTTAACGACAATATTATACTTGTGTACCTTCTGCTGTCCATGGTTCATATGTGATGTGTCGTTGCTCAACAGGGGGCGCTATCTCCAACATGTACAGCGTGATGATTGCACGTTACAAGTATTTCCCAGAGGTCAAGACCAAGGGCATGTCTGCTGCTCCTCGCCTCGTCCTCTTCACATCCGAGCATGTACGTGACCATGAACAGACACGCGCACACACACACACACACACACACACACATAATTTTAAGTATCGTAATAAAGTAAGTGCCATGCTTCATTGACTGCAGATTGAGGCCATTGAAGAAGTCCCGTAGTAATCAGTCGGTCTATTTGAATCAAGCCAATGGCTATTTTAATGGATTCGTTTTTGCTTTTATCACATCTACTTCTGTCTATAAAGAATTGCACAGCTGACAACATGGCAGCCAGTAAGACAAAGCTCGTGCTGCAATTAGCTCACAAAATCACCGCTCTCCTTGAGTTGAGCAGTTATTTCAAGGAGTGGTGAGTTATTGTCCTAATGTGCGTCCCCCTATAGAGCCACTACTCCATAAAGAAGGCCGGCGCCGCTTTGGGCTTTGGTACGGAGAATGTCATCCTACTGAGCACAGATGAGAGGTACGGGATTCACTATAGGGAAAGGCAATCTGTTTAGAGATTGAGTAAAAATATGTGTATGCTGAGTATAGCCATGATAGAGATGCACGGCTCTGCATTGTTTCAGGGGAAGAGTCATTCCTGCAGATCTGGAGGCCAAGATCATTGATGCCAAACAGAAGGTTGGTGTCTTCCCTACATTTTCGTTTGCTGTTATTTATTTTTTATCAATCTCTCTCTGCTTTTTACTCGCCTACCAAGATGTTCTCCTTCTAATCTGTACGTGTGGTGATTCTGCAGGGATATGTGCCACTGTTTGTGAACGCCACAGCTGGTTCTACTGTGTACGGAGCATTTGACCCCATAAATGAGATCGCTGACATCTGTGAGAAGTACAACTTGTGGCTGCACGTGGATGTAAGTAGGTCTAATGATAAGACAATACAAAAATAAATAAATTAAAAGGAGTTACATCGAGAAAAAAGAGAGTGCAGTGCTGTGTAAGAAATTAGTAGTTATTTGATTTAATAACAGACAGTGACAAAAAAGTTTTCAGGATCTACCCACTGATTCCACAAATATCTGCTCCAACAGATCAATATGGTAACCTTATTATTTTTATTTCAACATATCGAGGACTGACACAAACATTCATGGCTGTCACAGGTGCTTATCTCCATTATGGCAGCAACATTCAGGGAATCATTTCCTCTCCAGCAATTTGTCTTCGTGTTGTTGCTGCAATGATGCTTTTATTTTGAAAACTAGTGTAATTGCGTCTGAAGATTGTGTCAATAGTCAACATGCAATGTATGAAGAAATAACTCCACTTAAATAAATAATTCAAACTTATACATAAACCATATACTTTAACAGTAATAAAACAAATTCACTTTCATTTTATGAAAAAAACATTGATCAAACAACAAATCTTCACTGCAGATAAACCAGGTAGGATGAACACAATGTTCTCAAACTTCACTCTGCACCATAGACTGTTTATAAAAAGATCTGAACACAACGTCCTGCACACAAACAATAAAAAGTGACAGTGTATTGTTGAGCTGTTTGATTGACAATAATGACAAGGAATGATTCTGAAAGGGCTCTGGAGCTTTAACACAGGCCAAGAAAACAGCTCATTCCAAACAGGGAGGTTGAGAACATTCACTGCAGTGGTTTCAAAGAACTAAGAGTTAGAGTGTACCTGCAGTTCTGGATGGTTTACAACGTAGCAGTAGATCAGAAATGTATTTTGACCCTGAGCAGTTCAGTGCTTTATAGTAGTAATACCATGTCCTGGTCTGTGTAACAGTAACAGTAAGTGTCTTGTCTCCTCAGGGAGCATGGGGTGGTGGACTGCTGATGTCCAGGAAGCATCGTCATAAGCTCAGCGGAGTTGAGAGGTGAGTGCACGCTAATAAATGGTTTAAAACTTTCAGTGAATCTAAATCAGTACATTAAGACGTTGATGAAACGTTGCAGGGCCAACTCTGTCACATGGAACCCTCATAAGATGATGGGCGTGCCTCTGCAGTGCTCTGCCATCCTGGTCAGAGAGAAGGTACAGCAAACACACACTGGTGCTGACATGTCGTGAGCAGGTTGGAACAGAGGGTTAATAAGTGATGTGTGCTCTGTGTTCATGTGCAGGGGATCCTGGCAGGCTGTAACTCCATGTGCGCTGGCTACCTGTTCCAACCGGACAAACAGTACGACGTCACATACGACACGGGGGACAAGGCCATCCAGTGCGGCCGACATGTCGACATCTTTAAGTTCTGGCTCATGTGGAAGGCCAAGGTGAGATAGAGTGAAATGGAAACACATGTAGATCAGCTTAATCTGAAATCATCCTTTTTATCAACATATACAAATGTCCTCTGGGAAAAAGGAACGGTCGCAGTGGTAATCATAAAACAGATTCTGTTACTTCATTAACAACGTGTCTTTTTTTGATTATTTCCTGATTCCTCCTGCAGGGCACCATCGGGTTTGAGCAGCACATTGACAAGTGTCTGGACCTGTCTCAGTACCTGTACAACAAGATCAAGAACAGGGAGGGATATGAGATGGTGTTTGATGGAGTGGTGAGCTTCTCTAACTTTCTACTTGAATAATGAAAGAAAAATTATTTTGGTTCACTAGCAAAAGGGGCAAGAAAGAACCTTGTAAGAGAATTAAAGGTGTGGTTGGGTATTTGTTTCTGAAATCACTTTTATTAGCCATCAATAAATAACGAAAATAATTGTCTGTGGCCCTCACAGGACTGTAATAAACACATCATTTCATTCGGGCCTGTCTATCATCAACCAAGCAGCCTGCCTCTGTGCACCCTGCCCATGCTCACTACATAGACTGGATTCTCCAGCTGTAGAGATATACACCTCTGAAGCAGAGATGATAACCAAACGTTTGCGGGCATGCCACAGAAAAGACGACTTCTAGTAGTTGTCAGGGACATAGCTTTGATGAGAGGACACCGGGATCATTAATCCTTAGCTAACAAAGAAAACATTGAATCCTATGAGATGTTCTTGCACTCTTCCCACTGCCTCCATCTTTCTTCATTTTCTTCTTTCTTTCTTTTTTTCAGCCCCAGCACACCAACGTTTGCTTCTGGTACGTACCACCCAGCCTGAGAGGCATGCCAGACGGTGATGAGCGGCGAGAAAAACTCCACAGGGTACAACACCTCTCATTTCTGCCCATCAGCATTCACATTTATCCCTCCTTTTCAATCACATAACCTATGGAGGATGATCATAACAGGCTCCTCTTCAGAAGTCCAAGGTTCTGATTTGCTGTTTCTCTACTCCACCAGGTGGCACCGAAAATCAAGGCCATGATGATGGAGTCAGGGACAGTCATGGTGGGCTACCAACCCCAGGGCAATAAAGTCAACTTCTTCCGTATGGTCGTCTCCAACCTCGCGGTCACCCAGTCTGACATCGACTTCCTCATTGATGAGATTGAGAGGTTGGGTCACGACCTGTAGACCTCAGCCATCACTGCTGCCCCCTGCTGGTCTCTTATCTGTGATATTTCCAATATAAGATGTAATCAGCGAGGTGTAACACTCAGTGCTGCAGGCAGAGTAATGATAGGACGTGTTTGAGGTTCTTTCTTTGCCTTAAGCATTATGAATGTTTCTCCAAATTAAGAGAAACAGGCAATGAGAGAGACTCTAACTGTCCCATATAATTCCTTCTATAGAGAAAATATATAAAACAGTATCTGAAAGCTCCAGGTACAAATAACATAATAATGTGTGTGTGTGTGTGTGTGTGTGCGCGCTGTGGAATCTTGTCATGTCTGTGTGTGTGTGTGATCTACTTTCTCGTCCAATGCAGTTTGTCCCTTAATGTCTGTGTGTTTTTTCTTGAGTGTGTGTGTGAGTGTGATTAAATGATTGAAGGGGAAAAAGCACAGATCAAAATATTACAAATGATCAGAAATATTAATTCTGCTGTATCATACATTTCTTACACACAATTGAATCATTGGTGCTTTCGACTGTGTAATGCACCGACCTACTTGTCCGAGCCCCTCAAGCAGTGTGTGAGAGCTTGTGTGTGTGAGCACGAGTGTGTGAGTGGACCCTGTGTTGTATTTTAGGCTAGCACTGTGTTAAAAATAAGCTAATGTGCACACCATAGGTACCAAGTGTCATAAACTGTGAGGTTTTAACCTCCAGTGACTGATTTTACTGTCTGCAATATTTTCCCTGGTAGAAATTTAAGATTTAAAATATCTGCAGCTTTCCCCATTCTGTAACAACATCAAACCTGTACAACACTGGCTCGTTCTCTGTTTCATGCAATCATGTGATGGCCATATGTGTTTATAACATTGTTC